TTTTCGTTTAACAAGTTAAATCGGGCCAATTTGAACGTAATGTAATATAGAAAACTATGCCTATATGTATGTACATCGTATATATATATATATATATAATACGTAGATATGTATGTACATTAGAGTGGTTCAAAAACAATAAAGTCAGAATTTTAATGCCGCCACCCCCTAGGATGGTTCTGAACCGCAAAAAATATACCCTTGTTTTTCATCTTGAAAATAAATATTTTTCGATTGGAAAACTGTGGTTCTCTTCAGAAGACTTCCAATATTGATATCCAATCGTTTATTTAGCCATTTTTTAATATTAAAAATTTTTTATTGGTCCCCCATTGCATTTTGTGGGGGTTTTGGAGGACCTATAAAATATAGTTGCCATGAAAAAATGGTTAAAAAAACAATTGGGTATTGCTACTGGGAGTTTTCCGATCGAAAAATATTGATTTTCCAGAATTCTACACTATTTAAACGAAAAGTTGTTTTTTCCGCATATAAAATACATGGAAAACTTTGAGCGTTTTAAGCACTCCCTAATTTTTTTTTCCAAATAAAAAAAATAGGGGTATACTTTCTTTCGGTATAGAACAATCCTAGGGGGTGCCGGCATTAAAAATCCAACCTTATTTTTTCACATACATTTTTGGACCACTTTAATGTACATACACATAAAATCAAGCAGGAAAAAAGTAGATTAACTATAATGCTTTGTTTTCTTTTTTTAAATTTCTGCCTTATGGCTCCTTGACAAGTTATCGCGCCACTGACTTTAAAATAAATACAAAGCTTACCTTTGGCTTAATATTTAAACCGGCAAAGGCATACAGCAGGTGATGGTCAGGTAAAAATTTACATACATACATACGTACGTGTATATAAAATTCTAAACAGCGAATACTCAGTACCAGTCGAGGAATTAAACACGAATGGTCACGTAATTTTTATCATAATTTCACTAATTTTGATGTAGTTAATCACACATTTTTAACAATCAACAGAGTCATACAAACATGCCATACCATAAATACGTACATACTCATATTAACTTTATGAATAGAGCCGCGTCTACTGTCGTAAAAACTAATAGGCCAAAAACCCGCAAAAAAAATATTTTTCGATTTTATTGAGGTACAATACGTAAAAACCCAAAATTTATTTGATAATAATCACTTTACATAAATTATTATCAGAAAAAAGTGAACTTTAAGGTATGAAGTTTATTGTGCTTATGCTTAAATATATTAGTCATTTACATACATACATATGTAACATAAAATAACCGAAAGTTTGCTTTTGCTGAGTATGTATAAATAAATGATTATATGTATGCATGCATGTTTTCCGTCGTCGTATCGAAGGAATGGGATCTCATCAGAGACTTTGTTTTTCTTTTTATTGGAAAGGAGTTATCGCGAACGCGAGGTTTTTCATTTTCCCACTTTAGCTCGCCAATGCCAAACGGGCATTTCGTCACTAACCAGAGGATACGTGGATACATATCGAGCCCTAACCGCCAAAATAACGTATGTGACATTTTTTTCAAAAATTTTTTTTTGATTCAGAAATGCATCTCGATGCTCTAGGAATATTTCTGCATCAAAAAGAAAATTTTGTAAAAAATGTCGCTTACGTTATTTTGGCGGTTAGGGCTCGATATAAATATCCAGAGGTCGTGGATTTCAACTGGTCGCTCCCTCTGATGAATGAAAATGATATATGTAGTTTTGTTTTGTTTGCTAAAAATTATATAGTTTTGTCTACTCAAACTTTTTTAAATTTACAAATATCAGTTCATCAAAAAAACATGTCAGATTTTAAGAAAACTGTATTACTGTTCTATGTAGCCACCTTTAGCGCGGATAATAGCAACGTGTCTGTCCGGGAATGCTTCACAGAATGCACGAATGTGGTCTACTGGTAATTTGTATTGAACAGGACGTTCAAACGATGCTTTGTTTACTTTGGGCACGAAAAAAATTCGGTAGAAATCTTTGGACGTTTCAATAAGGCTCGCACCAACGCATAAAGTTTGCAAAATTTGACATTTTTTAGAGAACAAAAATTCCCAGCTTTATTTCTTCGCAACAATGGCCACCTTATTCACCGAATTGAGCCCAATGGATTTTTCCATATGGTTCATTCTCAAGGCCAAAGTATCAGAAAAAAGATTGCCTTGAAGATTGCTCTTTGCCCAGATCACATTCGTGCATTCTGTGAAGCATTCCCGGACAGACTCTGAACTGATATTTGTAAATTAAAAAAATTAAAAAATAGACAACAAACACGATATACAGTAACTCAAACCAATGGCCACGTGTTAATTTTCTTCAAATATTCGTAATGTTTTTTGAAAATATCGTCTAAGCTTTAACCAAAACCGTGTAAAAAATTCTAAATAAAAAGTTGAAATTTTGATGAAAATTTGTTGAATTTTCCTAAATTTTGTATAAAGTTTGAAACTGTGATTTACACGGTTTTGGTTAAAGTTTAGGCGTTATTTTTTATACAAAAACAACACAAAAATTTAGCCGGAAAAATATTACGATTAAAAAAAAAAAAAAAACAACACGTGGTCATTTGTTTGAGTCACTGTAGTTATTTTTAATGTGCTTACTTTTCAATAGGGTTGGAAAATAATCATTATTTTTTTATTTTATTTTAACCAAATAAATCAATAAGTTGTAATCGTCGTAAAACAATTTTAACTATAGGTACTCACGTAATTGTGTGCGTACGTCCTACTGTAATTTACAATGATTTTAATTTTTCGAGTTTATTCAATAAATATTAAAAAAAAATAATTAATATTTGAGTTTTATTATTTCGGTCAAAAAAATTATTATTTTACGATTTTTCTTTTTTCGTTCAAAGATAATAATTATTATGGAGTTTTATTTTTTCACTTAAGAATAATGATCATCTAAATAACTCAAAATCTATACCAGCATGATTTCCGACGTATCCTTTTCAGAGGATCAAGTCGCAAAATTTTCAGGTCAAAATTTCAGTAGATTGCGTCTGTATGGCCTTTTCAAGTTTGTAAATACTAATTATTTTTGGGTGGAAAAATAAAACTCATAAAATAATTTTTATCTTTGAGCGAAAAAGTAAAAATCATAAAATAATTATTTCAGTTGAGCGAAAAAATAAAACTCAATAATAATTATAATTTTTAAGCGAAAAAAATAGAAATCATAAAATAATGATTAAATGCTAATTTAAATTATTTTACTCAAAATGATTACCGTCCCTGCTTTTCAATTAATTAATATCATTTAAACAAATACCTATCAAAAGCGAATATAACTAAAACGAATATGCAACGTTTCAAATCGTTTATACAAACGCAAATACAAATTTACTTTAGGTTTAAAGCAACCTGTCTGGTACGTTTATATGTGTATAAGTGCAACGTTTATTTTTTTCAGACAGATATCAGTGCAAATAAAATTGTGCATTGTTCAAACGTTTGTCCATATACATACATATGTATGAATGTACGTATACTTTTCATTTATATACCACTCATGATGAATAACCCAGTAAATGTTAATAAATCAATTAGGGTATTCATAAAGTGTGCTATTTTTCGTATTAGTGCTATCTGGTATTGTCATAACTAGGGCTTCGGAGCAAAGGTTTTTTTCCATGCTCCACTCCGGTAATTTATTTTGCTCCGAGCTACGCTCCCGCTCCAAATAAAATACTTTAACGAACTTCAAAAAAATGAGGCGGCTGTCGATTCGTCGGAATATTGTTTTTTGTTATTGAGTTTTGTATCACGATTTGTTTGTTAGGAAAAATGGGGGAAAAAAACAACAAAATCTATGCGGCACATACACCCCGCGGCAAACGAGAGCACATCAGCATTTTTACCAGTTTTGACTATTTTTCTTTTGATTTTTTAAAGCTTATTATTTTTTTATAAAAGTATAGCTCTTTATCTAACAAATACCGTATAAATCTAAATTTCAGACTTTGTACAAAAATTATAAAAATTCCATAAACTTTTCACCCCAATTCCATGCATTTTAGTTTTAATTTCGAGAATAATTTTTGGTATGCATTTTTATAGCTTATTAAATTCTAGTATAATAAGTAATTTTTTATATGGAAAAGAGTGCATAACATCGTCAGCAAAAAAATTATCAAAAATCCACGCGATTTTTTAGCAACTTATAACTTGCATTTTGCAAACATTTTGCTAGAAATTAAAATTAATTAGAAAAATAGTAAACACTAAAAAATTCAAAAGAAAAGTAGTCAAAACTGGTAAAAAATGTTGATGTGCTATCTTTTGTAGCGGGGTGTACTTATGCTTTAAGCTGCAAGCAGAAAAACTACCCGAAAATTGAACGCAGAAACACATTTTTTTTTTTTTTTGATGGAACCTTCCGCAAAAAAAAACTAAAAAATCAACGGAAATTTTTAGGCACTTGAAACTAATGTGCAAGTTACATAACACTAAAATTGAATTTGCTATAAAACTGTATACTCAAAAAAATTTTAGCACTACCGAGAAAAATGTTCGAAATTTGGATACAAATTTTTTTAATTTTTATTAGTTTTCTACCAAGTTTTAAACTTGGGTTTATATGGGTTTTTGTTAGAGAATTTCTTAAAAATAAATAAATAAACATAAGTGGGCAAACAATATCACTTTGAAATTGGGGTACTATTAATATGACCGATACTGTATGCATTTATAAAACAGGAAGAAGTTAAAAGGGCACAAATGCTGTCACACGTCACCCCGCAATCAAAGACAATCAAAATAAATACATACATACATGTATTACAGTACAACAATAAATTAAATATTTGCTCACGAGTGTACAAGTTGCAAGAAAAAAAACGCATAGATAACACAAGAGCACACCCACAACTAAGTGAACATCTAACATGTATTTAGTGATCATTAAAGGCTTCATTATCGCATTGATATGCATATTGCTTCAATAGTTGATTGGCCAAGCGCGCAACTTCAGCGGATGAATGTACATAAAAGACTTGGCATTGAAACGAGGAGTAAAACAGTTGGTGTGGGAATACGATCGCGTCAAGACGGTGTGGCCGTTCAAGGAAGTGTGGTTGATTTTGTAAAAGAATAAAACAAAACTGTTGGTGCAGATCGAAACGGATCGAATATGTCACAAGAGTACAGTATTTCTGAGATTGCACAAAATAACGGACGCGACGGCAAACCAGTGTGGATTATTTTTAAAGATGGCGTTTACGATGTCACGAAGTTCCTGAATGATGTACGTACAAAAAAAAAAAAAATATATTAGTTCAATAATTTGTTGTAAACGTGAAAAGAGAAAAAATGTTTAGGATGTTTAGTAGCAGCTCAATGATTCGAAAACTATACATACAGTGTTATTGTGTTTCTAATGCCAGTGGAATTAACTTATCTAATACTAAGTTTTGTTGACAAACTTGATGAAAGTTAGTTTTTAAAGAATCGCGTAAAGACTTTTACTGCGCTGTGTTTTGGAATTAGTTTCCGGCATCCCCAGTTAAATTTAGTTTTGCAAACTAATCGGTTTTAATATGAATGTCAAACAGAAGACCTCGAAGGAAGTTTTGTTTTCACAGTTTGGGTTGCCACCTGTTTAGAAGAGTTAAAATCAATTCAATTAACAATTTAAACAAAGTATGACAATATGGATGTCAAATAAAATAGTTTTGAGAAAGCTTTAATGCGACACAATTTTTGAATAGAGTTGCCACCTTTGTTAATGGTCAAATTCTATTAATAATTTCAATAAAATATTGCTATGTGGATGTCAAAAAAAATGCATTGGATGTACATGCGTACGAAGAGAGTTGCCACCTGTTCAAAAGGTCAAATTAAATGTAGTTAATAAGTAAAGTAATACAATACCGATGTCAAACGAAAGGGGTTAAAAATGAAAAATAGCACTAAAGATGGCATAAAGCCGAAACCGGTTTGCATCTAAACTGAATTTGACAAGCGATGACGGAAAACGTTAAACAATATATCATAAAGGCTTAGTAATTTGTAAAGAACATATTTTTGTAGAGGGTTGCCACCTGTTTGAAAAGGAATTAATATTTTAACTTAAATATTTTAATCGCTCTAAAATATCTTGAAATCAGCTTTTTCAAAACTTGATTATTTTTCTGCTTAAGCTAAATAAACTATAGCAATACGACAAAAGGTAATGAGCACTACTTCGCTTCATTATTCTTTCGGCTTTGCTAGACAATCAACCTGGCGTCACTTAGCATCCGCTGTGACAGCAAAAATCTCTATTTCTTTTCTGTTACATTTGAAAGCATAACGTCAGTCATTTTAATCACAAAACCTTTTTCAGAAAAGATAAATACGCCCATAAATTGGCTTTCGTGGTATTTATTAATTTATGGCTGCGCTTAATAAAACGTCTGCTATCGAAATACGCTTTGGAAATGAGCAGCTGTACTTAACAGTTAAATTTTTTAATGGCGTTTTCGTTTCTACAAAAAATGTTGCCTTCTCATCGCCCTCTTCCTAGTGTTTGTGCGTAGATGGCAAAGAGAAGGTTGCATTTTTCGGTAGAAACGAATTCGGCATAATACGTACATATGTTTGTACATATTTATGTAGTTTTTTCATAACTTGAAAAAAATTCAGACTACCAAAACAAATAAATTATTTTAATCAGGGACCGTAAGGGTTATGATCTTTATAATAAAATCTATAGCTTAACCGTTAAAGTTGGTTGTCTTATTCTCCCATCAAATTTAACCGTTATTTTGTGATTTTTTCGATCGTTTTTTATTGTTATTTTTGATTTTGATTTTTTTCAATAATATTATAACTGTTATTCCCAGATTCATCTTTATCATTTAAAACTTTTGAACTTTAAACAAACCTATTTACATCACTACATATTATAAAACAAAGTCACTTTTTCTGTCCCTATGTCCCCTTAAATGCTTAAATCTTGAAAACTAAGCAACGGATTTTGATGCGGTTTTTTTTAATAGATAGATTGGTTGAAGAGGAAGATTTATGTCATTATAATGTGAATAAATATATAAAGGGGGCGTGGCAATCGGACAAAATGTGGTAAAAACCCATAAATTTTTTGTTTACACAGCCATAAATCATAAAAGAATCCACCGATTAAAATGAAACTTACTTGAAGTTAAACTTTGAAATATTTACTTTCGTTCTGCATCAAAAAAAATAGTTGATTCATATCTTATTTAACCAAAATTGTTTAAACAAAAGCAGCACTTTTTCCAAAAAAAGCTGTTTGTGTGTTTGTTCGCTGTCAACCGAATGAAACATTAGAAGTTATGCGGGAATCTCACCCCACCTCATTCATGTTGAATTAGATCGTATGGTGAAAGAACTCGGTACGTATGTATGTAAGTACATATGTACGAATCTCTCGCATAATTAAATTTCGGACGTATGTATGTATGTATGTATGTATTTTCAATTCATGTCTTTATTGCCGTACTGAATTCCATTGCATTGAGGGTTTTTATACAGAAAACCCAAATTTGAAAAATTTTTAGTTGTGAGTGTTTTTTCAGCGAAATAAACCGCTCTGTTCACGTTCTATATTAATAAATCGCACATAATTAAAATACAGTTTTTGAATAGTTTTTATTGATTCGGAGCGCGCGTTAGATATTCCAAAGATAGCAGGAAATCTTCATGGTATAAAGAAAGGGGAACTGTTTTACTCCAAATGTAACGCGTGCGGGCCACGGGCAGTAATGAATAAATCAAAACTACGGGATCGATTTTAATCATTTTTTCAGTGAGTGACATAGGCCTTATATTTTATTTCCGTGCGAAGCCGGGGCGGGTTGCTAGTATTTAATAAAATGCAAAAATCATTTTTCAAAAACAAAAAAAAACTACACATGCGTTGTCCCTTTTACCCGATGTTCACGATTCTCAGTGCAAAAAAACAAACTAATCCCTTGACTAACAAAACAGCTCTTAGTTCTGCTTATTAGTCGGAGAAATCGACGAGGCACTTCATGTGTTTTATTAAGCATTAAAGTATTTGTTACACAAAATTATACTTGAATACGAGTATCAATTGAGTGAACCACTTTGACATATTTTCAAATATATCCAAGTCAAGTATGGCGACAATTTCGAGATAGGCAGTCATTATACCATAAACACTATGTAGCTAGATAATCATCAAACAAGTGAGAACTTTAAAAGTGACTCATTACACAGAAATTCGATAGACGAGCGGCCTTATTTTAACGTTTCAAAACAAGTTCATTAACTCAGATATATGTATGTTTGTATACATACTATATTAGTGTGCCTCAACAACAAAGTTGCGCGTTTTCCACTGAAATTATAAAATTTATATTTTAAGACAAAAATCTCCCTTTAAGCTTAAAAACTTCTATCATATGAGGTGATTTTTTGGAAAAAAAAAAATTTTAAATATAATTTTTTTTATAAAAAAACTCGGCGAAAGTCTTCAAATATAAAAACAGCACCGTTGTTTTTTTTTGTATGGAGAGTGACGCGTCCTCATGTTCAAGTTCGTCGATCCAAAGAATCGACCGATTGAAACTGAAATTATTTAAGAAATATTACAGTGCATTGGATCCAGTGAATTATTTGACGATCGATCTACTTTTCTGTCTCTAGCACTGTAGAAAATTTTGAGTATACAACATTTGAACCCAGGTCCTGCTGAACGGTAGTGCGCTCTGCTAACCCCCACACCAAATATGTAGGAGTTACGAGTCCTCTATGTGGATACATATGTAGGTATAGTGGCGGTCAAAAATGTATGAGTGGTGTTTAGTTTTTAATATTTAGAACGTTTTTCCAGCTAAAATTGTTTTTTTTTCATATAAATAGCGAAATTTATTAAAACTGCCGTTGACTTTTTTTATTTTTTTGCAAACAGTCTTGCGCATATTCTTCCACAAGAAATTAATTTTATATGGAAAAAAGTGCAAAACGCCATCAACAAAAAAAAAAAAAAAAATTATTAAAAATCGATGCAATTTTTTAGCCCCTCAAAACTTGCATTTATTTTACTAGAATTTTATAAGCTTGTCAACTGCATACCCAAAAAATTTCTAAAAATTCTGGTTAAAAAGCTCGAAATTTAGATTAAAATTTGTGTCCTGAGCAAAATTTGAAAGTGTGATTTATATAGTTTTTGTTAAATCATTAACCATATTTTTATATAAAAAAAAATATAAAATTTTAGCTTGAAAAACATTGTAAATATTAAAAACGAAACACCATTCATCAATTTTTGACCGCCACTGTACATATTTATGTATCTCTACAACATTTCTCTTAGCAATAAATTTTATTTAATTAAGAAAAATAAAAGAAAATTTATTGCATTTTAATAAATATTTATATTAATCGATACATTTTTTTTTTATTTCTTTAGCATCCTGGCGGTGAAGCTTCACTACTCGAATATGCTGGTAAGGATGCTACAAAAGCCTTCAATGAAGTGGGTCATTCAACTGACGCCGTAAAGGAAATGAAATCATATAAGATTGGCGTTCTTAGAACGGAGGTAAGACAAAAAACATTTAAATGTACTTCTTACATACACATGTATAAATCTGCACACACAATTTATGTATGTATAAGTACATACATCTGATTTGCGGAAATTCCCCTAAGATATGTATGTGCATAGGTGAATGTTTGCTCAACTCGGTCACGGACATAGTAGGTAATTAAAGTTTGTTTGCAATACTGTTGCAAAGTGATAGCGACATTTATCAAGATGAATTTGAAAGAATAGCTTTTTTGTATATAAAAGTTTGCTTATTACAGACAAAAACTTTAAACTTCAATACGATTTTTTTAATTTTTATTAATTTTTTATTAAAATGACATCTTAACCTACCAATATGGTCAAATAAAATTTGAAATATTGAATAAGTACCCAACGTTTTAGTGTTTTACAGAAAAAATTTTCGCTCTCGACTTATGCTGTTCTTTCAAATGGCTGCGGATATAGCAATATAAAAGTTGCGTCAAATTATGTTATCTAACAGCTATATATGTTTTGTAATACAGTGAAATCTCTTAAAGAAGAACCTGAAAAACTGAGCAACACCCTGTCATATAGAAAAATTGCTGAAGTAGATTGTATTTAATTGTTTTAAGTAAGAAAGAAATAACATAATAATATAAATTGACTTATCCAAAATGATGCAAACAGAAGGATAATATTTGTCATGTTAAAAATTATATCGTCGGCACACAAATTATTACAATTTTATTGTATCTACATATGTATATACGTATCTTTAAAAATGATATTCTGAAAAATAACAACTATGTATTTAAATAATACTAGAAAACCTTCCTCCGAAAAATGTCAATTAATTGTGGTACTTAGCCCAAAATAAGCGTTCTTAACGAATTTTGCGAAAACAGAAAAAAATAGTTTAAACTGAACGGACGCGACTGTAATTAGCATACTAAAATCCAATGCACACTACCTAGTTGAAAGATAAAACTTGGAACATCAAAACTAAACGATAGCTATATAAGATAACCAAAAAAAACATTTAAAAAAAAAGATCTATTTTGACTGTTAACATTTAATTTCTTCTTTTCAGAACGCACAAATAATTAACAGCCAGCCTGCGCCTGCATCCAGTGATTTGAGTGCGAAACAGCCGTCAGAAAATTACTCTACACCAAAAAAGAAACCAGCTAAGTTTTGCTTTTGCTGTTAATAAAAAAAAAAACGCAACAATTTGCCTGTCTGTGATGCCACTGAAAATCGCTGAGGTTTAAAAATAATTTATTTGTACGTTGGCATATGAATGTATGTACATATACATATGTGTATGCAGCAAAAGTCAACATATTTATGTACATACATAAATAGCGCTTAATCATTTTCATCTCCATAATTGTAATTCTATGTCCATCTTCATGTAGATTAAAAATATTTATACTAAACACGCAAATCTTGTGTATATTTTAAATGTTATTTATTTACTTCTCTTACATTTTATAATGTGGTTTGAATTCGATCTTATATACATAACAGTAAAGTTTAATTTACGTTACAAAATATAAAATTAAATAATTATAGATAAGTGTAATATGCCAATAAATGCATTTTTTAAATACACTCTTTTAAAGATTTTTTACTATTCTTCTTTTCTCCCTTAAAATTGTACATATTTTTCCCTTATAGCTTTTTCGTTAATTTGCGCTCATATTGCAAAAGATAAAACCCAGCAACTGTTTCCTAAATAACGCTGTTAGTAAGTAAAACAAATTCAGCTCAGTTGACATTGGAACGTTATGGGCTATACATATATCTTCAGTCTCATGCTTCAGCCGATTTTTCCTCCACGGCATCTGGTGTGTTAATTTGCAATATGGAACAGGCATTATCGAACGGCTCCGTTGAAAAACTGGAAACATTGGCGGCACTATGCCGCAGGTAATGATAGAAACGAGTTGAGCGTCGCTCCTGCATGGCGCGTTGTTTCTCGCTGCGACAGATCGCACGCAACGCTGGTTCAACATCTAAAGCTCGTGTACGCTGACTGCGCGAACCAAATACGCTGCTGTTTATGTAGTTGCAAAGTGAAAGCCTTAATAAAAAATAGAGATATAATTTTCATATATTGTACATCTCGTAAGTATCTGCGATATTACGTTTATAATTTTACCTTCACTCTAATCTTAAGTAAATCTCTTTTTTTACATTAAATGTTATTTTAGTGCATTTTTTCATTACACATGTACTAAAAATTTTTGCGAAATTATCCCAGCCAGCAAAAACAATCAGAAAAACGAGCCGGAAAAGGGAAGAAAGTGGATGAAGTGCGGATTTTCGTCCATTTACCGATTCCATTTTCGGATACTTTGACGATCCGGTTTTCCACTAAAGTGTGCGGCAGAAACGTATGTACAGTCAAGTACCGAAAATTGTTTGTGAAACAGATTCTTTATTTACCTTCCTTTTATTAGCTCGGGATGTAACTATGTAATATTGATGCGCCTAAAAGATGCAGCGATTTCTATTCTCAAGTTAGATACTTGAGCACAGTACGAATGGCAATTATAATAGTTTGTTAAACTATAATTTTTTCTGAAATTTTTTCGATTGAATTTTTCGTTCAATACGCTTTCCTTCTGCACTTTACAGATACTTTTTCAAGAATTCGAACCCGGCACCTTCTGGAAGTTAACAAATAGCGGTACGCTCCCCTCCACGCTTAGCCACTGCCGACTACCCATGCATGTATTCAAATGTTCATCTTGAACAAATAAAATATAATTATTGCTTTCAAATAACATCATCTTTTTTGACCGTTTTCCGGATACGAAAATGAATCATAACTGTAGTCGTTTTGTATTCATTTCCGGATACGGAAAATTGTACTAGACAGTACTGTCGGCAAAATTTACGTTAATCTGCAGGCTGGGTCATAGCAAAAAAGAATCGACAAACTTAAACTCTTTAAGAATACAAAAAGTATACGTGCATATGTATGAAATCGACCGCGTCACGGACCAAGGTTAATTTGCAAAAAAAAGGGGATCTACAGGCAGGTTCTGCAATTCACTTTCGAGTGAATTTCAATCAAACTCGCTTTGAATTCAAATTGCCAGGGGTTGAAATTCACTCGAAATTGAATTGCAGAACCGGTTCGATAGTCGTTGAGCCGTGCAGTAGATTTTATAAGGAGATAAACTCTATGTACGGTATTGTCTGAGTATAGAGCCCAGTATTTTCAAGCCGCAGTACAACTGGGAGCACCCATTAATTTATATATCTGCATTAATTTAAAACTTTAAGTCATTACATGAAAATGTTATATTATTAAAGCATTTCAGAGTTAGAAATTTGCTCCCTAGATATATTATTATAAAAATAATTTCATGTTCTTTCTTAAATGAAACTCATAGGCATGTGAGTAAATGCAAAAAAAAAAAAATATTATAATTTTAAAAACAATTTTTCCCACTTTGCTATAAAAACATTAATATACTTTTATATGTAATATCAGATCCACTTACCGTTCTGTACGCGTATTGAAGAGATTGTACGGACATGCCTTCGCTTCCAAATTCACGCTTATCGCCTCCTCCACTATCCCGTGAGCAATGTGTTCCGACAGATGTGGCATCAACCGATCGACACCCATATCAGCACCCCCACCCGTTATACCATTCCTATAAATAGCTCCTCCACTGCCCTCGGACATGTCAGCATTATGGGTACCCAACAATGCAGCAATCGAAATGTTTTCATAGAAGTCACACATCACATCCAGTGGAGACTTAGTGTGTTGCGGGCGATTAACTTCAATTTCAGCTAACGAACTGTTAATGCAAGTTTTCTTCGGCGTACGTGTTCTACGTTTAGTTGCACTCAATTTTTCACTGCCAATCTTCTTAGCGCCCTTTTCACTGTTCTCAATTACACACTCTGGTTGCATGTGTAATCGTTGCGAGCACTGAAACACTTCAGTTAAGTTGACGCGTAACAAGCTGAGATCAACTGGAAATGGTATGCGCCACTGCTCATTTTGGTTGCAAGTGAAATACTCGAACAACGAACGGTGTATGTATACATCCTTAGTAGAACTGTTTTTCTTATCGCTTCTTCCGAGTTGCTCATCCGGCTCCTGAGGTTGCTGCGAATTCTCTTCATCTGATAAACGACATTTTGTTGGCGATGCAAAGAAACCCGATTCGCGTCTTATGCCTTCAACCTTTTGCGGTGTGCGATGTTGCGATTCATTTTTAACATTTGCCGCTACTGCTGTTTGTCTACGATCGCCACCGCTCTGTATGAAAAACTGCAGCTCTAGCAAAGTGCGTCGCAAATCTTTACGATTGTATAAATATAGAGACACTAAATCATCCAGATTGATGGGACAGTTTTCAATCAGCGATAAAACGGCCATAAATCGTGATATGTTAAGCGCATTTGGTGGCGTGAAACATATTGTATTTTGATTCATTAGACGTTGTAAATGCAGGCAATTGGGATTCGTAGCCATTACAATGACAGGTCTCTTGGAGCTTGCTGCCAAAGTATAGATGGCATCCGTAAACCCGCTGTCAAGCTGATCAAAAACCACATCCGCATCTTCGATTAGTATCAAACATTTTCGCGTATTTTGAGTGATATCTGCATTGCAACCACTGTCGGCATCCAATTGGCTCTGAGAATTTTGCTTTTTTAGTTTCTGGCCGTTCAGGGACATTCGTAGTAAATTTTTCTGCGCTTTGCTGGAACTTTGGCTGGGTGTCGAGTCTTTGCGAATTTGATGCGACTGTGTTGCTTCCTAGGAATTAGTTAAGGACAATATATCTGTGTTCGTATGGAAAAGTAGCTTATGTCGAAAGGCTGGCTTTAGTATAAATCGGCATTCGCAGCATAGAATTGAGAATGACTCACTGGCGCTGAGCCGTTGAAGAACTTTTCGCAAATAAATATGCAAGAAGTAGTTCCAATACTACCAAGTCAATATTATTATTAAGTCTCATCATAAAATTCCTTGCCGTTTAAAGAGTAAAGGGAATGCCACATTATACTAAAGCCAGCCTTTCGACATAAGCTACTTTTCCATATGAACACAGATATATAAGTTAACATTTTGAGAGTACTTTAATTTTTTGTTTTAATCATTTGTACTTTGTGCATGAGTCTTACCTGCAATTCTTGTATTAAACGCTTTCCCGTACGCTTCATACCAGCATTTATTTCCAGCACATTGAAATTCATATCATTTGCCAGCGCGTAAACCGCATTCGTTTTGCCACTTGACACCGGCCCTAGCAACACCACAGCATTGCTCGTCGCATTGCTTATGCTCGACGTCGAGTCATTAGACTCATCGAATGAATCATCCATTGTTTGTGAATTGCGTGCACTCCCCACATTACCATTGACCCATGTAGCTAGAAAATCACGCAACTGTGTGACCGGCACTAGATTCACAAGCACTTGTTCAACTAGCATTGGTTTATACTTTTCTGTGAACAAAAGCTCTCCATTGGGTGCTGTTGCTGGTGGCTTTATATCATCTTGCTCAGCGGTAGAACTTACAGCTTCTGTATCACGTCTACGCTGCGATCGACGCGTTACAACCAACGATTCACTCACTTGTTCCATATCTTGTGCTGAATCCAAAGCACTAAAAAAGCGATATTTTTCGCGCATTTGATTGTAACACTTAAAGGTGGGAAAGCGATCGAATTCCGACTTCCAAAATTTTATTATAGCTCGTTTATTCTCAACTGTTGGCAATAGGGTACACATTGGCGGCGTCGTTTTCTTAAGGCTAAGGTCCGTTTTCTTTGCTGCTTTAATTTTTCTGGTACTTCCTGTGTTGCTGCTAGATCTCCGTCTACGTCCCTTGCCATTTATTTTCTGCGATGAATCCATAGCAGATCTGTCAAAGTTATCGTCATCATCATTGGGCTTCCATTTGAAATTGAAATCGCGTTTAATAAGTAAAAATTCCGTGTCCTCAATAGTTAATTGTTGCACATGACAAACACGTGGGAAATAATCCAGGTCTTCTTCATAAGTTTGTTCATATTGTTTTTGTTTCTCCATTTCCAAACGCATTTTTTCCGGTACACCTGACATTAGAAAATCTTGTCGCGCTTTCATTGCAATTGGATCTGGGCTGGGTTTCGGTACTGCGCGAACAAAAAGTGGCGCTAACTTCTTTGGCAATTTCTCTGTTGAGGCAGACATATCGCTATCATCTAAATCTATTATTACTTCTTCCCTGCTAGAGATTTCACCCTGTTTAGCCTTTGTGATACCTTTTTTCGTTGAATTTGGATTTAATTTGGTCGGACTTTTTTCTAAATCATAGTCATAGCGCGCTTTACCAGCGCAAGAACGCTTTGGTCTTCCGCAGGGTGTGTTTTCAACCGGTTCCGGAACAACTTGTTCTACGGGTTGGAGTTTCTCTTCTGTTACAGGTGTAGCAGGCTTAGTTGCCGCTTCAGTGGGTAGTAAAGCACTGCTTTTAGTAGAACATCGTGAACGCGACTTTCGAGTTTCTAATTTGGATAGATTCTTACTTTTTGCTATCGTTTCTTTTAAATTTTTTGCAGCTACATCTGATGGCGATTCTTTCCGTGGGAAATAACCCAAAATACTATCCCGTTTTTTAGTGGGGGAATTAAGTTTAGATAAAAATTCGTCAGTCTCTGCGTCTGGTTCTACGACCGCTTCATTATCCGAAGATTCGACGGACAAAAGTTGTTTTGTTATTCGCTTCTTGCGTTTAGTTTTTTCGATACTTTGGTTTGCTAATTTTTCAGAGTTATTTGTTTTTTTGACCTTGCTTCTCCGATCATTTGATGCTCGACTTTTAGGAGTATTATCTTGTATTGGTGATGCTCCTTGCACGAGCATTTGTTTAAGCCTTAAATACAAGTTAAATTTTAAAATTACTGTGGACTGTTCTATTGCTTAATTTGGGTGAATATATTTGACATATCTTACCGCTTTGCACGATTCTCCAGTTCATGTTCAACGTACGCAGCTCGTGTTTCTTCTTCTAATTTGCGCTTTGCGCCACCCTTTTTGTTAGCCCACTCTTGCAGCATTAATTTGCGTTTTGTGTTGATTGCCGATTCTTGACTGTTGTTTGGTGAGGTTTCTTTTCCAGGCGTATTGGATCCGATCGTTTTATTTCTAGCATTCATCATAACCTCAAAAGCATTCATGGTTTTTGGTTGATTTGCCGAGGACGAAGTTCCGGCAGCATCCATTTTCGTCACAGTCGCATCATCTGCACCTAGCTGATTGTTATTATGGGTTCGTTGGAAATGCCGTAGAATATCCCCATCGGGTGAAGGAGTTTTTAGAGGACTTTTGTTATCTATATGCTTGCTTTTACGGCGACTATTAGAGGAAGCTTTCTGTCCGTTTTCCTGAACAGATTTTTCTTGGAGTGGTTTAGTTTTCGAACGCTTTCCAATAGATTTTTCGCCATTTTCCGCATTTCCTGAATGTCCACTAGTCTTTTCAATTAACTTTTCATTACCAATCTCATTGTCCTCTGTTCCATCAGTTTTTTCTAATTCCGCGGTAGCAATAGCGACTGCTGCTGCTTCCATTTCAGCCAGTTTTCTCTGCTCTCGTTTCCTTTTATGCTTCTGTCTGTGTTTCTTCTTCACAGAGTTTAAAACTTCTTCCATATTCTGAAGTATAAGCTTGGAATCTGGACGAGGCGCTTTGACGATATATTTGCAAACAGCTTCAGCATCACCATCTTGCACTGGAGCAGTGTTAGCTTCTGGTTTCTGATCACCGAATCTGAATGGTGATTCGTAATTGATTTCAACAGCAATTTTAAGATCTCTTTCCTCACTTGCAAAGTTTGGATTTAAATCTGTCATGCTCATACGCTATTTGTACAAAAAGCTAAGCAAAGCATTGATTTTCTTAAGCGTTCACCTTAAAAATATGGTAAGTACATAATTAAAAAAGCACTAAGCAAAATTTTGCGTACCTTTATGTGACTACAAGCAATTAAAATATGCTGACCGAAGAAAATCGCCGCATGCATCGGCGTTTACTACAAACTAGAAAGAAATCAAAAAGAACGTGGTTGCTCATACGCTTCCACTTTGCAGGCAGTGGGAATTTTGTGTTTCGCGGTTTCAGAGCTATGTGGCAAATATATTTATTACCTTTGTTATAAAAAAAATATAAGCGAAAACTAAATTAACTCAAAAAGTTATAAAAAAATTACATTACTGCTGTGAATCCGTTGGCAGCTTATGTCAAATGGTAGAAATTGGCGCGAAAGGTACAATAAAATAGCACTGAACATCCGCAATGTTGAAAAGGCTGCACTATTCAAGAGGTTGTCAGACGTGGCAATGAAATATATTGCGAAAAGGCCGTCAAATTGTAAAATTTCCTGGGAAAAGAACTATATTCTGCTTTTCACATGTACACAATCGGCGCCACTACTAAGCACCGCCTATTTCAGTTCCTTCAATCATTAGCTTTGTTTCTTAGCAGATAATTATCACAAATTATCACTAGGTTTGTATAGTAACTTCTCCAGTAAAACATGCAGCGAGAGCGTAAAAGCAAAATAGAGCGTAAAATTGAGAATAACAGAAAACTAGCAGAAAAAGTTAATGAACACAAAACTAGCAAAAAGTTGCAAGTGAACAGCTGTTGCACTGTTTTGATATTCTGCTGTAAACATTTTACTATTTATAAATCATTTTTAAACGCTTTGCTTTACACACACGCACTTACACAGTCCAGTACATCATTAATATTTTGATTTCTACTCATTTTACTTTTGTTTGTGCTAAACCAATTCAACAAATTACGCTTATTCTTCTTCTTCTTCTGCTAGCTAATTTCTGCTAGTAGAAATTTCACTAGCTAGAATTTGCAGCTCTCCCGTGTTGTTACGCTCTCGATTCAGCGCTCTCTTGCAAATTTTTTGGGTTATCATACACTTTTCCAGTAAAAATTTGCAGGTTCCAGTACAAATTAGTACTGACTATTGGTTACTATACAAACCTACTATTATGGTATGTCACCAAGTTCTTCCCTAAAGCTTGATATACAGTTCAATGCGAGCGTGAGCATGAACGTTCGCAAAGGAAAATAATTCCAATTAATAGGTCACGCTCACGCTCGCATTGAACTGTATATCAGGCTTAACAATCCGGACCGCATCCGGTAGTTAGAGAATAAGCGAAAAGTTTGCTCTCAAAAATCGAACATAATCCAGAAGTACGGGAACGCAAAATACCACATTTCGTGCCCCGAATTTGAGAAACAGCTGATTCGCGTTGTTTTTGTTTTTGTCACTTAAATGCAAACTCTTGTATATTGAATTTTTGTTTCACAAATTTGATTTTAAGCATATAACGATTGAAAATACATTCACTATTCCTTAAAAGCACCAGGTAAATGCAGGCAACGTGTAAACACAAAACAGCTGATATGCACTATATCCATTTTTACCCGGAGAAATAGTCCGGGCTGTTTCGGGCAGGAAAAAGAAGTCACTTTCGATCCAATACGTTCCAATTTTCGCTCTCTATTACCCATTTTCAAAAAACGTAAATCTATATCTATAGATTTACCTTCTTTGATGCAACCTACGTTATGGCTTTCAATTTTGATGATTTTTGACAAGCAATGAATGTGAGGAAATTGAAAGGCAAAAATGATTGTGTGTCACATTTTCTCCTTAACAAAATTTGCTTTTTTATAGTGTATTCGTTATGAAATGAAATAAAATAAGATAAAATACCTTTTTAAGAAAACAAAGTGTGTATACTGAGAAAAAATAAAAAGTATTCAACTATATTAATGGGCAAAGAATAGTGGAAGAAGTAACACTGTTTCACGTAAGGTAGTCAATATGGCGGAATTCATGAACGAAAGACACAAGATCACGTAAGAACAAGAGAGTGAAAAAAGTCGATTTTTTTAGCGGGTTCCACGCCATCTTGTTTCACTGGAAAACGAGCGAAAAGTAAACAAAGCAAAGAAAACAACGAAAACCAAAATTATTGTCAGCCATTTTAAACGCACAATTTAGGTAAAATGATGCAACAAAATGCTTTAAAATGTGTTGTCATGTTGAATTAACTCTTCTTTACTTGAATAAAAGTGTAAAATAGTGGTGCTTGTGATGTAAACAAACGCTCAGCTGACGAACCCGCTTTCGCAAACTTTTTTCTCAAAACCAGTTACAAATACAACGTCGCGTTCTTACGTGATCTTGTATTTTTGGTTCGTGGGCGGAATTAGAGCGAGAATTGCCAAATGATAACACCTTGTATTATTGCATCATGAGTTGGATACACAGACCGTTTGGGTGGTGTATTGCGCCAATTAGCATATGGGCTGTCATTTCACAATTTTCTGCAAAACGTCAAAAGATAAGAGAAGGAGAACAAAAAGAAGCAGGACAGTCCAATTGGCAAAAACATTTAAGACGTGTGTAAATTTAATTTTCGAGTCGACTTGTTTCTTTCATTAATTTAAAACAATTAAATTCGGTAACTTTTATCAAAAAATTTCAAGTGTATTTAAGCAGGCTATAATGGAGACGGATTTAGGTGATGAAATGCAAATGCATGAGGAGCAAAAAGAAAATATAACTGACAAAGAGAAAGCTGAACATGAAGGCGCAAGCAGCATCAAAAAAGAGGATATTGAAAACAAAAATAATAAATCATTTTTGGATATGGCTCCCTCGCAGGCCAATCTTTTGGTTTCAACCTCAAAACTGGAAGATCGCAATATAGAAGAACCATTGGCGGTACCGGATGGTGTGTCAGAAAATGTCGATTTACCTTCTACAAGTGGTTGTGATTTGGCGAAAATAAAAATTCAGGATTCTGCTGAAAAATCTGCTGCTCATAAAAATTTTACCCAAAAAATTGCCACGCTTCAAGAAAAGTCAAAAAATGTACGGGCTAAATTAGGATTGCATCGGCGTGAATTACAGCAGCAGTGTGCTCTTGTTTCGCAATCGCCCCAAGTTTGTCATATCAATGACAGGTTGGCAGCAAAAGCAATGACTGCTTTGCGTGCCAACACATCTCGTGGCACTGATAATTCGCAAACACCTAGCACAGCTACGCAGTCTGCAGTTGAAGTTAATGCAAATGCAAACAGTTTAACTGTACAACATCAGCGTCCTTCACGACGAGATCTGCAGGAACAATTGGAAGGTTTGCAAGAGCTACTTAATCAACTGACTCTTAAAAATCCTCAGCTGAAAGAGTGCGTTCAAGAATTAGCGCAAGGTAATCCCAAACTACGCCAACTTGATCTCTTTGCAGCGGTTGGGCCCGAAAAAGCCATTAGGGCATCTGAACCTGTACCAAGCGTTTCCCGATCTCAGAGTAACGCAAAACAAAGGCGAGAATCAGAAGTATCTAATGCCAGCACGACAACATCACAAAAGGATACAGCTACCAATACAAATGACAACAGCAATGGTGCACAGAAAAGCAGTCGAAAACGCGCACGTAACCGTAAAAATAAGACCATCAAACCCAGTAAAAGCCAGGCAAGTGAACAGGAAGCATTGTGTAAATACATAAATAGCATTGTGAGCCAATATTTAGGCGTAGAGAAAAAACAAAAGGCCGATGAACTGGAATTTAAAGGCACCTTCGATGATTTGGAGGCGCATGCACAGAAATTAGTGCAGGAAGGTATTGGACGCATTGTGGAAGAAGAAATAAGAATTAACCGCAAGAATAATAGGCAATCATTTATTGTCATGTCTGCCGATCGGGAAGGTGTTGAACGTGATGGCATTATATTACTGCCTGTGGGAAGGCGTTACGCTTTTGAGGGTGATTTAGTGCGTGCTTTTGTAATGAATGCTGGCATGGCAGCGACCTCAACAACATCACAACATGCAAAGGATGCCCATGAAACATCAACTAAGGAGGATAAAAAGGAGGATGTCGGATCATCTGCAATAACGGGTGGCAAAGAGAATTCATTTTGCCTAGGTAATTTTATTTGAAACAAAAAAATAAATATAATTTGTCAAAACCCTTCTAATACAATTTAATTTGTAGGTGATGACGAGGATCCTTTTGAAGACACCGAATCGCCGGATTCTGATGTCGATGTTGATCAGAATGATTTAGATACATCTGCCGTTGTAGTGCCGGATAATTGCCCCAAATCCTTCGTTATATCTATTGTAAAACAAACGCAGTTGCGAGAAGTTGTGGGCGCTATATCCTTCAAGAATTCCATGAAGCTAAATAACGAAACAAACTATTACAAACTAAAACCGTACGACATGCGCGTTCCAATGGTTTACATTCCAGTAGACGCATGTGCTTCACACATCACATCCGAGAATAAGGCTGATATCTGTGGATTACTTTATTTGGTGCGAATTCTTGAAACCGACATTAATGGCCATTGCATTGGCGAACTAGTACAGCCGGTGGGAAAAGTGGGTAATATGGAGTCAGAACTGAAAGCAATACTTCTGCATAATGGTCTAAAGGATATAAAACCTTTTGACCAACGTTTTAATGATCTATATGCACAACCCGATCAGCCTATAAGTGCATCGGACTTGCGTGGTCGAGAAGATTGGCGAAGGAAATGTGTTTTTACTATTGATCCGTTGACAGCGCGTGATCTTGATGATGCCGTTTCAATGGAGCGTTTGGGCGATGATTTATATGAAGTAGGTGTCCATATCTCTGATGTAGCTCATTACTTGAAGGAAGATAGCGAACTGGATAATATCGTTAAGCAACGCGCTACCTCCATATACTTAGTAAACGAAGTTATTCATATGCTGCCGCAAACATTATGTTTTAAATGCTCTCTACTGCCGGGCGAGGATAAATTTGCTTTCTCCGTTTTCTGGCGCATGAATACGCGTGGGGAAGTTTTGGGACAACCACGATTCACGCGTACAGTCGTTAATTCTTGCGTACAATTAGCCTATGAGCATGCACAAAAGGTCATTGAAAATCCGAATGAAGAATTTGGTATCGATGATTTTCCGACTATTTGCAACGGATTCAGTGTAGCCGATATTTGTGCAAGAATAAAAATTTTAAATACAATAGCAGAACATATGCGCCAGAAGCGCTTCGATGGTGGTGCACTATCAATTAACAATCCAAAGTTGCGTTTCAATTTAGACCCAAAAACCGGAGAGCCGCTAAGCTATGAAGTGGATAGCCGTTTCGAAGCAAATTTTTTAATTGAAGAATTTATGTTGCTGGCAAATCAATCGGTTGCGCGGTTCATTTTTAATCGATATCCAAATTTATCTATATTGCGCAATCATGCGCCACCACTTTCGAAATCTATGAAAAATTTGCGCGAGAAATTGGCCAATTTGGGCATGGAATTGGATTGCTCAAGTTCCAAAACAGTCTATGAAAGCATGCAAAAATTGTGTCGTCAAGCTAAGGATCCCCAAGCAATGGATGCTTGTTTGAGCACGTTGCTTACAAAGCCAATGGCACGAGCCAAGTAAGCACGGACTATTCTCGAAAAGTTTTACCATACATTTTGTAACTTTCACTTTTCCTCTTTTTTAATTAGGTATTTTTGCAGTGAAGGCAAATCGGAGGAGGCAGATTTATGGCATTACGCTCTTTCTATACCGATATATACACACTTTACTAGTCCAATACGTCGCTACCCTGATGTTCTTGTGCACAGGTACATATGTATACTTGTATATAAGAGTAGTAAAAGCGACGTAAACAAACGTTATATAAAAAAAAAAACATTATTTAAAATGTAATTGGTTATCAGATTGCATAAGTACTCATATGGTATTTTTTTGTATATCACATTTTTAGAGTACTCGCCGCTGCATTAGACTACTGCCCACCGCCCAAACGCACCACAGACGAACTGCACATGCTTGCCAAAATTTGCAATGACCAAAAATATAATGCTAAAAATGCTGGAGATGAATCAATTAATCTCTTCTTTAAACGTTATATCAAAGAAAAGCAATCAATTACATTGCGTGCTGTGGTTACCGAAATCTTTCAGCATCTATTGAATGTGGTCACTATTGAAACTGGACACTCGATAAGTATTAATTTTAAAATGCAAAAAGTATTGGTTGACACATCAAATGCACCTGCATATGTACTCATTGCCGAGCGGAATTCAAAAAATCCACCGGTGAAATTGCAACTGTTCTCCACCGTCGATGTGAAGCTAGTCATTTGGGATGAGAAAGTTTGTGGGTTTTTCGCTTCGCCAGATCCTAAGCAACGTCAAATTAACAGTATAGAATTGTCGAAGAAAAAGCAACAAGGCGGGAGTAGCGCTAATAATTCTCTAAGCGAGAGTAGTGGCACACGTAAACAGCGTCGTACATCACAGCGTTCAGCACAAGAGTTAAATGATGCGAAAACACAATCACCAGCTACCGGTGCTAAATCGAAATCAAAGCAGAATAATAATAATAAAAAGAGCAATGAAAAACGTATTTACGCTGTTCTACCTGATGGCGAAAAGAATTAATATTGGACTGAACATTAATTAGTTCCTTAAAAATTTTCAAATAATCTACTCAAAAGCAATATACAATTCGAATCGCGATTCTTTTTTTCCAATTTTAATACAAATTGACAAACTAATGGACTATTACTTGTAATGCCTTACCAAAACACATGCGATAAATATGTATAAACTATTCTGCGTCCGCAAACGGATTTATGATGAATTTGGTCAAATTATACCTCAATGTCTTGCCATGCACTACCGGGCAATGTGTATTAATTTTTCAACTCTTTAATTGTATAATTTTTGTTAAAAGACAACACTCATGCATACATACATATTGAAGTACCCATATACAAAATTTTTTCAATCGTTTTTAATAGATTTCGCCGTGGAAGCGGAAATTTAGACATACCTACTATATACATAAATATGCGCGGTAAACGTATACAATTTTTTACGATAAATTATTGATACCGACCAAAAATTGTATGTTTATTGTATAAGCAAAAGTAAATCATTAAAATGTGATCTTCATCATAAAAAAAGCATACAAACGCAGTAGTTGTATGTATGTATTTATATTTTAAGCTATTTTGTATAGTTTAGCGAATTTTTACCAACAAATCGAATTTGAGAAACAAATACAAATAAAGAGACAAACAAAGATGATAGAATATCGTATCGCAGTTTGTATTGTTTTTGTTTATTAATTTTTCTTTTTTGGTGGAGATAGTGAACGCAGTCTAACAATCGCTGGTGTGGGATTGATACTGTATAGTCGTTTTTGTAGCAAATTATAAGAAAATGTTGTTGAAAAGTACATACATATATAAGTATATAAAGTCCAGTTAAACGTGACAGTTGAAGTAATTTCGAAAAGTCTGACAAATTCAAGAATTATGAACCTTTAAATATCTGAAAAGTTTTATTCGCTAAAGTTACCTTATTTCATAAAAAAAAAAAATCCGCAAAAAATGTGTCGCATGGCAGCACAGGGCTGGTTTGACAATAGTTTAAGCAAAAATTAAAAAGTGCCAGTGCAGCAGGTGGAAATAAAATTTCGAACTAGATTTACGCTCTTTCATCGGCAGTCACACTTTGCAGACTTCATTTCAGATATGTAACAAAAAGTACATTTTGAGTGTTAACACGTTAAAACGAAATTACACTTACTTTGACAGCAAAACACATTGAAAAATTATTTGCGTTGCCACGTCTGACTGCACTATTATATAAACTATGAACATCCCAGTCGACAAAATGAGCCCTTTCAGGAAGAGCTTTTTTCAAATATGCAATCTTTTTGGAAACTGTTTTAGAAGAGCTTCCAATAGCACTGCCATTCGAAGGCAGACAAGAAGATGTTTTGCCAAAAGAACGGAAGTCAAGATGTCGTGTACTGTTTTCCTGTTAAGGGAAACTGAACAGTAAGCCCTTGAAAGTATGACCTTTCCATGCAAAACAATAACTAAAGAATCGACTATAGAGGCTCTAATTTTGACGACGGTGTATGTACACTAGGGTGGTCCAAAAGTGCATGTAAAAGTAAAATCGGTATTTTAATGCTCTCATTCCCTAGGATTGTCTGTAGCGAAAAAATATAACCCAATTTTTTATCCCCGAAAATACAATGGCGGGACCATTAAAAAATCTATAGTATTAAAAAATGATTAAATAAACAATTGGGTATTATTACTGGAAGTCTGCTGGAGAGAACCAGAGTTTTCCGATCGAAAAATATTGATTTTCAAGAATTCTATACCATTTCTACGAAAAGTTGTTTTTCCCCATATAAAATACACGGAAAATTTGGAGTGACCTCTAAATATATTTTGATTTCAAAATAAAAATAATCGGGGGATATTTGTTCGATATAGATCAATCCTAGGGGGGTGAGAGCATTAAAATTCCGACATTATTTATTTTGGGACACCCTAATGTACACATATCCATATCCTAGTATTAAAACTATAACATTTTGAGATATTACGATTTTTTTTTGTATATTTGTTTAAATTTTTTAATTTCTTGATACATATTTTATTAAGCTTTCTATTTCTTTTGTATTTATTTTAATCTTTTAATTTTTGAACATATAATAAACAAGTATGACTAAACACTAACATGCAAACATAATACGCAATACGCTCGTAAATTTGGTTATTCCTTTTCAACAATCACTCATCAGTTGCTCATCAGTAAGTAAGAATCAAAACAAGTTTTCTGCAGGGGATCCGTTTCCCTCTAAAAATATACCATAGGGTGCATCATTTACGTATAAAAAATTTGATACCTACTGTTTTTCCATCAGAATTATAAAATTTATTATATTCTAAGACTAAGTAAGATATATAAAGATATTTTTTGTAAAAAATCACCTCAATAATCGAAGAGCTTACGCTTAAAAAGTCTGCATAACATATTTAAAAATTTTATCAACGGAATAAAAATAATGAAATTTTTGGAGGAATTTTCGAATCAAGTAAATCTTAATATTTTGGCTGCATTTCTTTATTCATTCTGAACGTTTGGAATAAGCTTTTTTGTTTATTTATTCTTTAGAACGTTCCTGTTGATATGGTGACGTATATTTCAAACGCATTCTGTTTATTCCGGCTGTGAAATGGGATTATCCGGAATGTATAAAGAAACGCAGCCAATAAATTTTATAGGCTGCATTTCTTTATACATTCTGAACGTTTGGAATAAGCTTTTTTGTTTATTTATTCTTTAGAACGTTCCTGTTGATATGGTGACGTATATTTCAAACGCATTCTGTTTATTCCGGCTGTGAAATGGGATTATCCGGAATGTATAAAGAAACGCAGCCATAGTTTCGGTGTGCATATATACATATTTGGAAAAGTCAAAGTCGAACGAAATAATAAAATTTACTGCCGTTTTCACGAATGCAATTTAAGTGAAAAATTATTATTTTTTTTGTCAGTTTCCATATAAATTCAAATATAAAAATAAATTTTCACTGAATTCGCTTTCGTGAAATTGGCTATTAGAAACCAAATTTATTTTTTTTATCAGTCAATTACCTATACATATTTTTTCTTTTTCGGAGTTCCCTGCGCGAACTTTTTGCACCAAATTTTGACAAAAACGATATATTTGTTGGTTTTCAATCACTCATCACATGTATATTTAATTTAAAAAAAGTCATATGCCTTATGTATATATGTATGTATATATGTACATATTTATACTTTTTATTTGCGCGTCATAATTGCATTGTATTATTGAATTATACACAAAATTTAAGCAGCAAAAAATTATGTTTTTGAAGAAAATCAAAGAAGAATTCTCGAAAACCAATATCCACTTTTCTACAGAAACTTAGTGAAGTATATTTTTTTTTTTTGCAAACAAACATCTAGCCTAATAGGGCAGATGTCAAATATCTTGACAACATATTGTCACCAGAAAATAAACGCGTAAATGTGAAACATAAGTTGTCTCCGTCTTTCCCACGTCCTCCATGACGAAATGCCATGAACGAAAGACACAAGATCACGCGGCATGAACGAAAGACACAAGATCACGCGGGCAGGAGAGTAGCCCGTTAGAATCGCGGGAAAAAAGTTGGACGATTTTGACATTAGCCGTTTATTTACATTTCTTCGTTGTTTACAATTTGGTGGTGGCTTTTTACTGCAATTTTCTTCATTTTCGCTTGTGACAACGTGTGTACACATAAGATAAAGAATAATTTAACACAACGGCATGATTTTTAGAAGAATTTGCATAATAAAAATGATTTTTCATGCGTTCAACAATTTCGCGGTTTTCTCCGTTCTCTTCGTTGTTTACTTCTTACAGCAAAGATGGCGTCGGAATTTCGGCAGCTAGAAAATAACTTTTTTCGTTCTTTCCGTCCCGCGTGATCTTGTGTCTTTCGTTCATGACGAAATGCCACTTGCTGACATATTTACGCCCATACATACGTACATATATATGTACGCTTACAGTAGGCTGCACCTAACATGAATATCTTGTAGCTATATTTTGCTTGTTACCGAATATTTTGTAACCAGCAAATTTCGCTACCAAACATTGTTACCACTTCATGTAACAGCAATTCTAGGTACCTTGGTCACGTTTTAATTCATTCAGCAAAACCTTTTTTTTATAAAAGGGAAAATATACGACACCAGCTTGCTGGTTCCATCAAGTTAAGGCGGGTCCACCGTTCGTGTCCGGACAACTTTTTATTTGCTCTCAAAATATTTTTGCCGGAGAGGGTGCTGAAGTACGGTTCACCGTTCAGTTCGGCACATTTTTTTTTGTTCTGAAGCAAACAGCTGATGATATCGTTGCCTACATATGATTTTGAGGGCGAAAAACACATGCAATTCGCTGCAAACGCATATAAAAGAGAACGCGGCAACCCGAATCATCAAGTCGTTCCGACAGAAAATCAAAATCAATTTGATTCGAACAAAGAGTGTTCAGCACATTTTTGTCGCGCTCTCAGTGAGACAAGTTGGGAAAGGAACGCGTAAAATTACTAACAAAAAGTGTCCGGACAGGAACGGTGAATCCGCCTTTATTGTACCATCAGGCTCGAAGCATATAATTTACCAGCATTTTGTTAAACATTGTTTTTTTTTTGTAACACAACTGCAATATCGTGAACTTAATCTTCCACAAACACGGCTTTGACTCATATAGCGCAAGAAATTTCCGCCAAAATACTTTTTACTTAGAAAACAATCACACCACAAGAACATACATGGTCAATCGACTTGGGTCATTTAACAAATTTAGCATATTAAGGACTGTGAACTTATCTACTGTGAACACAACACTGGTGGTGAGCTTCTAGAGCGTTTTTGGTAGTGTTTGACAATTCACACGGCTATTCGTAATTGCAGCTTCCCTGTATTAAACGTTCTCTGTCTTTGGTACGAGCGAACTAATATCAAAAATAAAGTTCTGAACACATTGAAAACGACGAGCTACGGACCACAGCTTCCAATTTGTCATCTTCATTATCTAAACACTTTGTCGATGGCGACATGATTTCTTTGAACGCGGCAGCGACATCATGAATTTGTATGAGTTTGACATAAAATAAGAGGAAGAACCTTATCTGTCGCCAGAAAAGTAGAGACAGATCTAATCTGGCCACAACCACAGCCGTCGCGTAGCCCGGTCGTCGCCAAAATAATTGGCCCGTAGTCATAGTCAAAATAAAGTCGACTTTAAAGTTAGTTGCAGCTTTTTTGACAGATATCCCATTGAAAATTATGTCAAAAAGCTGCAACTAACTTTAAAGTCGACTTTATTTTGACTATGACTACGGGCCATTATCTACATAAGAGCCAAGGCGCATCAATACAAGGTGGTGTTGATTGATCAGCTGATTGGATATTTTTGTCTCTACACTAGTACAGGAGAATGTCATCCAAGACGAAGGCGCGAATTTAAGATGTAAACAAAAGAAAATGATGAAAATTATCTCATATTCCCTTTCGTTTTGACATCCTCCTGTACCAAAAAGCAATAACAAAATACACGGGACTTTTACTTATATGCAATCAACACCACCTTGTATGGATGCGCCTTGATAAGAGCACGTGTTAAAATAATTTGACAACTGTGGTTTGTAGCTCGTCGTTTTCATTGTGTTCGGGTTATAAAGATTCAGTTAAGACTCGAAACTCAGCCGAAGCTGTAGCCCGTTTCTGTAACTTTTCTCTACCGATTATTTCTCTACTGGTAGAGAAAATACGTCACTCTCACCTACTAATTAGCAAGGCGAATTGAGATATGAATTCGCCGCCCTGTTCTCTACTGCTAATTAGTAGGTGAGAGTGACGTATTTTCTCTACCAGTAGAGAAATAATTGGTAGAGAAAAGTTACAGAAACGGGCTACTGATGTCTTTTAATTTTCGCTCAGTCGTGATAAAATTCGCTATTAATTTTTTTGGAACTTATTTCATGTTGTGAGTGATTTAAGTTAAGTTCATCGGTTTCATAAAAATAACAAAAACAACATTGTATAATATATATTGTATTAAAAATGTCGGAACCAAAATGTAAAATGGACCATTTTTATAATGTTTGTGGACGTTTCATAGCAAGCGATGCAAAATGTGGCAATGTGAGTGATTGTTTTTTGGAAGCCTATAAACAATATTTCTCGCAAAAGTTTATCACTGACGTAAACTATGCCCCTAAAAAAGTTTGCTTTAATTGCTATTCAAGTGTTATGCAATGGAAAAGTGGAAAGAAGAAGGCTATGCCTTTTGGTATACCAATGTTGTGGTCAGACAACAGCCCGCATCAACAAGAAATGTGCTATGGATGTATAAACTACCATAAAACTTTGAATAGAAGGAAAGCAAAGAATAAAACTTATGTAGCAGTGCCAAGTGTCCAATTACCATTACCGCACTCAGAATTCGTTCCAGTACCAACATACCGAAGTATTGATCTTCAAATAGATATCAGTACTACAACCACAACAAATAAGGTAACTATAGAGTATGCATATTTTGAATTCCTAGATTTTTCTAATATCTTTGTCAGAGAGCACAATTTAAACATGTTAACGATTGAAAACTATTTTCGTTTCAGGTACAGAGGAAAGAAATCTCCAGATGCAACACTCGCTGAAATTTGTTGGTGGTATAAAAACACCTTTGAAGAAGAGGAAGACGAGGAAAAAGAGGAAGAAGGGGAAGACAAAGATGAAATTCCAAAATATCTGTTGGACGAAATTATCGACCTTTCTGATGATGATGACGATGACCAAGATATTAGAGAGAGCAGTGATGTTGATCCACAGCCGCCTGCTAAACGGCAACTGGCCAAATCATTTATTTAATTTATTTAATTTTTTTTTCTTAAAACTTTTCATAACTAACATTTCAAAATTATATTTCTTTCCATATTTTTATAATTTCTTTTTCAATGTTTCTTCAAAACCAACACTGAAAAAATTGGTACATGAGAAATGAGAAGTAAATTAATATTAAGCTGGAAAACGAAAGTTTTGTATAATGATTGTATTCTTTTCAAATGAAATTTATTGAACAAACTGAGAAGCATATTATATATAGATCAAACAGAAAGCAAAAAATACTTAGTTTTGTGGAAAATATGTTCAAAAAGCATGAAAAAAAAATAAATTTCCAACATTTTGCTTCATAAGCACTACAAAAATTTTCTAAATAAATTTTTTTTTTAAATTTCAATTGTTGCACAGGTCTCTAGCAATAATTTGGCTTTAACAGATTGGAAAAATATCAATTAGTCGACGAGTTATAGCCAAAAAACCATATAAACAATATGCTGAAAATCGGCATTTGACTGCAAAGTTCGAAGGTCGATTAAAAAAAAATTCGAACTAACATAAACAAACGCCGCGATACGGGTCTTCTAATTTAGCCTCTATTTTCACCCCTCACTCTCAGAATCGACCTAACTTTTGCTAACCTGAATTTGTTCCACAGTGTAATTTGACGATGAAATAGTATTTAGTTTGGACATGGCACTTGCATTTTTTGCCTGTTTCAAAGTTTTTTCATAATTATTATGCCTGGTTCGTGGCAATTTCTTATTATAAACCCCCTTTCATGTCTTTCCGCTTTACGTATAAAAGGCTTGCAGATGTGCTTTTGAATTATATTTCTCCTCGGGTCCGTAATCTAATTTCGAAAAAGTAGAAGACTTTAGCCTTGAAAGCCAAAGGAAGCCTCACCATACATACATATATGTAAGTAATTCTAATTCTCAGTCATTTCTAATCTGCGTCAGTTAGCACAGAAAAGAAAGGTGGTTGTTGTTTTAACAGCATTCAAATTATCCAAAGAGTGTTCGGAGAATGATACTGGAATGAAAGTGACCAAGGTCAGATATAAATCTGAGTCGTAGACCCGACTCTTGTGGCAACGACATTAAAAACGGTTACAGCAAAAGAAGATACTTGTTCTGAGTTTTGTTTAAGCCTTAAATTTATCGCTTATGTGTATACACTATACACGCCTGCCATTTCTTTAAATTTTTTTCTTGGGAAGATCTTACGTACATTGAGCGTGAAAAAGAGAGAATTTAACCAGCAGCATCCAACTGAGAAAGTAGACTTAGCCAAGAGTAGAATTGAAAGCATCACTGCGCAAGTTAGCGAGAATCTACTTATGCATGTACATATGCACATTAGGGTGGTCCACAAAAAAAGTAAAGTGAGGAGTTTAAAGCTCTCACCTCCTAGGATTGTTCTATACCGAAAAATATACCCATTTTTTATTTTCAAATCAAAAAATATTTAAAAGCGCTCACAGTTTTTTTCTATGTATTTTAGTGAGGGAAAAAATAGGTTTTCGTAGAAATAGAATTCTTGAAAATCAATATTTTTCGATCTAAAAATTATTTAGGAGACTTCTAATAATAATATCCAATTGTTTATTTAGCCATTTTCAATTATTCACTATATTTATAGGACCCCGAAAATCCCCAAAAAATGAAATGTGGGACCAAAAAAAAAAAAAACGCTACTACTAGAAAATGGTAAAACAAAAGAAAAATGGATATTATTAGTGACAGTTTCCTGCAGAGACTAACTTTTTCAGATGATTTTTGGACCACCGTAATGTATATATATGTGTACGTGGTATTAAATGCACATTAGAGTGTCCAAAAATATAAGGTATTTTTTTTTTTGAAACTCGATATTTATACGGAAGACTCTTTTAACGTTTGGTCGCACTCTTCGCTACAATGTCTAAGCTTTCGTTGTTGCGAAACAATATTACGTGTTTAGTTGATCACTCTACAGTTTTGCGCGGGTGTGCTTGCGTTAAAATCTTGGAGTATATCCAAGATTTCTGCTGGGCTGCGTTTCTTCGATCCAGATCTCCTGATGTATTCCATTAATTATGAGAAGACATAGCCTTACTAATATTGGCGGGCTTTTTGTGTAATAATCTCAGTACGCCCTAATGTACCAGCACACATACATACAAACATTCGTATGTACATACGTGCATATGTGTGTATGAAAATAATATTTTGAGCTGCTGATCAGCTTTGGATGGTCAATCCACTGATTGTTGGACATATAAAACCGGCAGTAAATATTGATGAGCGATAAGTTAGTCATAGAATCTAGCTGGGGAATAACGAGCACTGGGCAAATACAAATTTATTTTTGTTCTGAATAATAAAAAAAAGTGATAAGCATGAATTCTAAACTCGTTCTACTGTTGGTTTTCGGTATGTTTAGTGGAATTCAATTAGCTTTAAAATTGAAATAATAAAGTGTTTTAATCTTTTTTTGATTCAGCTTGTTTGGGCACCATGGTAAATGCGCGTCCACAGCAGTGGCAGGGTCCAATATTCTCCAACCCATTTTTTCCCAACATTCCTGGTAAGTTTGAAATTTTGTAGACGGTTTACAAGTGAGCAAAAAAAAATGTTGTATGTGCATATGTATGCAAGTTTGTTGCAAGAGTGTCCTAATCAAATAAAAAAAATATATGTCTAGCTAAGCATGCAGATATTACCGCCAGCTCTTCTTCTGTGTTATGTAAAAATATATATAAAAAAAAGCTGAATCGGTTAACAATTATGCCTAGTGAAAGGCATTAAATGGCAAAAATAACAAATGGCATAGTTGGGCATTAAATAAAAATCGTGTCAGTACGTTAAAAAAATAATCACTAAGTTCATTTCCACATGGCGTTTTTTTTTTAATGGCATACATTTTTTGTCATTTCAATGCCTAGTGGAAATTCGGCATAAGTATGTAGCTCATTTTAAGAAAATGTGGAGCGGATGTAAAGCGTTCACTTTAAAGCCTTTTTTTCCGAGCTTTGAATTTTTTGAATTATGACACTTTTGCAGAGAATGTGCAATATGTATGTATGTACATTAGGCATATGAGTTCTATCTAAAATTAAGTAAATCGCACCTTAAATCAAAAACAGTCGCAACAAAAAAAAAAAAAAATCAAATGTTCAAGAGAGGCAAACAATTGCGGATGCGATGCAAGCAAACGAAAAAATTTCAATATTATATTTCCAGTTATAAGAATATAATGATGAAGAGGCAGTGTTGGCAGACGTTAATAATGTGATCTGTTTTATGGAAAAAAATCAATTTTGAAAATATTGTCTGTGAGGCTGAAGATGAAGAATGCTGATAAACTAACAAACAAAAAAAGTATTTGTCAAAATTTAATCACAAAATTCTCCATAGGACTCAGAGAAAACATTTTTTTTCTGTAAAAAAACATACGTACCGCCTTAACCGCAAATAGGAAGTAAGGGACATTCTTTTTTAATTTTCTTTTTGATGCAGAAATATTCCTAAAAAAAAATTTTTATAAAAATTTCGCTTAGCTCTTTTCGGCGATTAGGGCGCAGTATGTATGCGTAATATGTATGTGTAATATGTATGTTTATTTTCCAGTATAATTTTTTTTTGCGGAGTTTCCTGCATGCATTTTTTTTTACCAAATTTTGACGAAAGCGTTATATTTGTGGGTTTTTCATCATCCTCATCCTCTCCCCATACGTACATATATTTAATTTTAGAAAAAAATCATATGCCTAATGTACTATTCATATGTACTTATCTACGTACATATTTACTTAAAGTAGATTAATGCGTCCTCTTGTTGCAAACACAAAAAACAATTAACTACTACATAAATTCTTGGTTAAACTAGATGCCTCTTCTACTACCACTCCCGCACCGCCTGCCTCTTCGACTACGGTGCCTTCACCAGAGTATCTAGCCTGCTTGCGCGCCTGCCCTACCACCATGGAATACAATCCTGTTTGTGGCAGCGACAGTCAGAATTACCACAATAATGCGCGTCTGGATTGTGCTGTGCGCTGCGGTCAAGGTTAGTATGGAGTGTTTAGATTTTTATTATGTGCACATATACACACATACGTACATACATATTTACGTACGAGTTCATACACACCGCTACCAAATCGCTCTGATCCAATACTTTTCGTGTAAAATTCTGTAAAAATGTCAAACAGCAAAATTACTCTCTGAAGTGAGAGTAAAAAGTGAGTAACAAAAAAAGTACGGGAACAAAAAAAAAAACATTGTTCCTGTAAAAACGTGAACTAGTGATCGCTTGACACTTTTCATGATTTTACTAGAAGGAGAAAATCTTCTAACTTCATTCTCTACACAACTCTCCAAAAATCGCTCTAATTTACAGGATTTTGGAGGAATTTGGAGTACGGGATCAGTTTTCCTGTAACTTCCTGCAAGTTCGTGTAAAAACCTGTAAGTTCGTGGAGTACTGGATCAGAGCTTATGAATGGTTTAGGGGAATTTTTATTTATTTTTTAAACTTAATTTTAATTATTTTTTTTTTTACAAAGGCATAGCTCATTGTCTAACAAAAGCTGTTTAAATCCAAATTTTATACTTTGTACAAAAATTAGAAAAATTTATAGAAAAAAAGGTTTATAATTTATGTTTTATGAATCTGGGTGAAGAAATGCAGTAGCCTATTGAATTTTAATATAAAGTGTAAGTGGATTTTTTTTCCTGTTGACGATGTTGCGCATTTTTTCCAATATATTCGTGTGTATGTATGTACATAAAATAAAATGCGAACCTTCGTTATATAGAAGAAAATGCTCAAAACCGCCAACAAAAAAAAAAAAAAAAAAAATCTATGGCATTTTGTAGGCCCTTTNCTTTGTTTTCAAAGTTGAATGGGCTATAAAAATACCTAATCAAAATAAAAAAATAGGTTGGCAAATTTATTGAATTTTTCTAATTTATGTACAAAGTTAGAAATTTGGATTTATTGGAATTTTGCTACTTTGTTTCTTACTACGTATTTCTATTGAAGCGTACGCAAAGCGTACGCTTAAGCTGATGCCAGATAAAACTTTGTAGCTTTGCGTGACATTTATAACTTTGCCAGCAAAGCGCCAGACGCAAAAGGTATGCCACAATGAACGCCAAGAAAGCAATTTTGTACCGCTGTTTTACTCGGTAAAAGTTGCTGTGGATTTTATATATTTTGCTTTAAAATTATCAGCAATGTAATTAAGTTTCATGTTTCTGCATGAAAACCCGAATTTGGACGAAACAAAATATAAATATTAAACCGGCTGATTGTCAAAGCGCGCAAAAAGATGGGAGTTGGCCATCTTTTCGCTTCGCGCTGCAGCTTCAACGATTTATGTGGCATGCTTTGTGCATTTTCATACAATTCATCTTATCTGTCAAAGCGAATCTGTCACGTAAAGCGAAGCAAAAGTTTTATGTGGCATCAGCTT